AAAAAAAAAAAAAATATATATATATATATATAAAAAATAAAATAATAAACACTTCTCAAACTTTTCCAGCCAATAAACCGTTAGAATCAATTTTGTAGTTTGATTCCGGGAATGAGCAAGATTTTTGTGTTGTAAGGCCTTTTCTCTTTGGATGCTTTGAATGAAAAAGAGTTGAGATTTTGCCTGGTAATTCTAGGGATTTTGGGCTGAGTATATTTTGGTTTGTGCCCCCATTTGAGTTTACGTCTGATTTGGGTCGCGCTTACCGTTAAGCATGCATTCTTTCAATTATTGTTTCCCCTATTGAAAATGGGGGAAAATATTTCGGAATTTCCTGTGAAATTGAGGGATGATACTCAGACGAGAAATTTGTGGGTGTCATATGTTGTGCCTTTTGGGTTTTTTCCATAGAATCCTTCTCGGATTTGTGTTAACCTTCACTTGTCTCGGCAGGTATTGTTCTCGACTCAGGTGACAGTGTCAGCCACACTGTCCCCATATACGAAGGGTACGCCCTTCCACGAGCTATCCTCCGCCTCGACCTCGCCGGGCGTGACCTCACGGACCATCTCATGAAGAGGATACTATTTTACCACCACACCCGAGCGCAAAATCGTGAGGGACATCAAAGAAAAGCTTGCCTACATCGCCCTCGGCTATGAACAAGAGCTGGAAACAACAAAAACGAGCTCGACCATTGAAATGAATTACGAAATGCAGGATCGACAGGTCATCAATATCGTTGCCGAACGATTCAGGTGCCCGGAAGTCCTCTTCCAGCCACCCATGATCAGGATGAAAGCTTCTGGAATTCACGAGAGGATCTTTATAGTAACATCGTGCTGAGTGGTGGGACCACCATGTTCCCAGACATTGCTGGTCGGATGAGCAAAGAGATCACGGCGCTTGCTCCAAGCATCATGAAGATTAAGGTGGTGGCTCTGCCCGAGAGGAAGTACAATGCCTGGATCGGAGGGTCGATTTTGGCCTTTCTCAGCACTTTCCAGCAGGTATATTGCTTATTCGAGTTCAGTATTTTTGTTCTTATAAATTTTTGGTTCTGTGTTTGACATTACGCTTACGCATCTCGAAGAACATAGTGGTGATGTGGTTAACTGAAAGTTGGCTGTGGAAAAGTATGTTATCAATGCTAACTTTGGCTTCTGATTTGCGTAATTTAGGGGTAAGCTTCAAGAAGATTCAATACGACTGAAAGTGCTTCATTTTTGTTTTATTGTTTGCAGATGTGGATAGCCAAAGCAGAGTACGATGAGTCTGGACCTTCAATTGGTCATAGAAAATGCTTTTAAGCTGAAATCTTATCCGGGAGGAGCATTTGAAGCGATTTGTACGAATCACTCACTGCTTGTGTTGTGATGCTGTCATTGGTTTCTCTCTCTGGTATTTCTTGGTGTTATGTTTTTGGTCTTTTGAATATTTCAAGGGTGGAGAATGAGCATGGAAACAATATAGTTATCCTCAATTCATATTTATTTGTAGCAGATTTGTTTTTTGTAATCATATTATGAATTGAGGTTTGGATGAAGGGCCATATGTGTGACTTAAGCAGCATTTTTACATGCTTGACGACCCACTTGACGTGTAAGTGTTAGCTATTCTGTTTCGTATTTGTGATTTTGGTTTTTTTCTTTTTTGGCTGTTGATTCAATTTTTACCGAACGTCAACATACAGGCGTTCTCGGCGGATAGGGCCATTTTATATTTGATGTGGCCATTAGTTTATTTGTTGATCTATGTTTTGGTGTTGGAGGATTCATGGGCTGTGCTTATCGATTTTAGGGTTCGTTTGGGTAATTGTGTGTGTCATGATGTGATTTTATTCATCGTGCTAATTTTTTATGCTCTCACAGTTTGTTTGGGTAATTGAATGTGTCAAGGGCATTTTTGTTTCATTTTGCTAATATTTGTTGTGCTCTCACGTTTTATATTTTCCTTTTTCGATCTGAAAAGTGGAAGAATTGCATTGCATTTCTTATCGATGCATTATAATGCATTTCTTATTTTGTTCTTAAACTATGCAAAAGGATGTCGAACTGAGAAGTGGAAGCATCACACTGCATTTTTTTATCTTTGCATTATAATTCATCTCTTTTTTTGTTCTTCAACTTGACAAAAGATGCCGGACTATATCAACAATTGATTACAAAGTACCTTGAATTATCTTACAAAGCTATAAAAGTCTATTATATATATTATTATATATTTCCAAAGCGAGAAAAAAATAAATCCAAACTACATGGAAGGGATATTTATGAAGAAAATGTGAATCCACACGGGCTGACGGGCATGGTGGTCACATTATTCGGTTTTTGTGTAATTAGGTACATAACTGTAGATTATTCTCAGCATCATGTTTGTCTTCTATGATAATGTATATTTGACCAAGTTATTCTTTTACTGCTATAGTCTTGACATAGTGTGCTTGTACCGAACTACTCTTAACATATGCTATGCTACAGACAACACCAGGAAATCTCCAAATGGTCACTGTGGAAAGTTTTTTCTTTTACTCTAATATTTCACTAGCTCCTGTGTTCCAGACTGTAATGCTACAACTATACTTCAGAGAAAATATTTTGACAGATCTTCTTAGATAATTAATTCCATTTCCATATTTAAGAAATGTTAATTAAGTATAAATTTGTTAAAAGACCGTCTCCTATTGTTTTCAACATTATTATAATTATTATAATTATGATTGAGATAATATTCGTCAACTGTGCAACTTTCTGAATTTTGAGAGGTATGCTTTGCTACCAACTGGACGCTTTGAGTTTGAATAAATCGTACGATTTTTTTATAAGCAAACTTTGGTGTTTTTAGTTGCTGCCTTCAGATGGTTCTTTATGGCATTGCTTGGCCTTCATAGACTTGTCCTTTATCTAATAAGGAATTTAATCTTTGTGTTCTACTGTTCTTTAGTTCTTTAAAAAAAAAAGTATTAATATTTTTCATTTAGACGAAGGGAGAGTTTGATTTTTATTACTGGGATTTAATTTTGATGGGACTACATTGTATGCACGGTTTATGTTTTTGCTTTGAATTACCAGGGTTAGTTTTGATTACACTACTCATTATTGACTGGTTTGATACTTTTTTTTCCATTGTTTCTTGTTGTTTTGGTTGTAAAAGACAACAATGCCATTACGGAAACATAGACAAAAGGTGACGTTTCTATAATTGTTCTTTAGTTATTGGTGAGGATAATCTGAAAACTTCTAACTTCATAGTGCCTATGCAGCTACTGTCAACACATTGGGAGTCCAGATTAGAGATCGTTTCATAAGTCAGGTCTCTTTTACACACACAATCACAAACACATAGACAGATTAACGACTGGCCCACTTTATTCTTGGATGAAACTACAAACAATAAACCGTTGTGTTTGAAAAAGATTTCTTAAAAAAAAAAAAATCTTTGTTCATTCACATTTTAGCTATCATCTGATTCAGGGTCTGTGCTAATTGGGGGTGGGAGCAAGCCTTTTGAGAATAAGAAAGGAGGAGGTTGCACGGACATGATGGACGGCTTCTATAAAAGGGCGCTCGAGAACCAACTCAGTTTTCCCATCTGTAGTGACGCTGACGTGGTCTATGGAAACAACAATGTTTATGGAGCCACCATTTTCACGTATAACATTGGCCTCAGGGCCACTAGGTGAGCAAACATTGGTAATTTGGGAACTTTAAATTGATCCATACATGTTCTTTGTAGAGTTTGGAGGTGTTTTTATAATTTTCATCAAAGAGCCTATTGTGTGTTTCACTTTGGATAATTGATCCATACGATGTTGATTAAGCAATGTATTGTCAAAACTTGGACAATACTTTATGTTGTTATTTCCATGATGAACAATACTTTATGTTGTTATTTCCAGATCCTTGATTTACTGCCTCAAGTGTTACCTTTTTGGCCAGACCATTTTCCGGAGCTCAAATTATAGCAATTTTGTTAGCTTGTTTTTCCCTTTTTCTTATGCTTAGTGATTGTATAGGCCTTTGTTGCACATTTTGATCAAGTTAAACGCCTTCAGTTATTTAGAGTGACTGATATTCACTAAAAATTAAAGACAAACTGAAATGTCTATGATTATCTTATTCTTAGCTATGACTGAGTTTTGATCTGCATATCACGCTGCAGCAACTTTCTGCATAAATTTTTTTGTCACGATGTTCTTACAATTGTATATAACGTTACTCTATGTTATCATCTTTAGTGGTGCCTTTAGAATTTTCCTTTAATTCAACATTTTATGTGAAACGTTTAGATTCCGTAATTTTTCTATTGGTTTCTGTATTTTATTGTTTAAATTTCAGTTCATATGAAAGATTCTCTTGCAACTAACAGCCTCAATATGTATGCTACCATAATCAAATTTCCTTATACAGTGTGGATATACAGTTGCTGCCAGGTAGATTACTGAATTGGATTGAATCGTAGATGGGATAGAAATTAATGGCAGTGGCTGGTAAGGTGTCGAATGGCCACCACGAAGAAGAGGAGCTGGCCAGAGGTATCGACAGGCCTACCAATCCGACGGTGAAGCCTCTATTAACTGATGTTTATTAGTTCACCGAGGCTTATACTGAATGGAAAGCTGACAAACACGACAACTTGTCTCTCTTCCTGGTTTTGTAATTTTTTTCAGCTGGATTAGTTTTTTGTTGATCACTTAATTTGCAGCAGATAAGTTCAGTAGTTGTTTTTGCTAGATAGGAATTGTTTTATTGACTATTCATCTTAGTAATTTCACCAATAGATTTTCTGACAGTGTGAGGTTATTTGTAAATGTACTTAGATTTAAAATCTCAGCTAATTTGATCAAATTTTAGTAATTGGTAAGCGATCTTTGTAGAAATTATAGCTGACATATATGGTAATGTTTTGACCCAAGTGTTGCTTCGTCGCATGGTGGTGGAAATGAAAAGAAAGCTTTTTTTGTTGTCTTTGTTCATGTACAATAGTACAAGCTCATAGCTACTACATAATGGCACTGCAAGGTCGTAATTCAATAGATATTATGAGTTGTGGCCTTAGGGAATTTTTTTAGTAATTTGTTTCACCACAAATTGATATAGTGAATAATTTCTCATACAAGTTTGAGAAAATTCTCATATGTGATGTGTTTTATTCAGGTTTGATCTATATTTCCGGAGGAACTCCTTTGGCGGGGAGTTTACAACTTTTGTTGGTCTAGGAGAGTGTATCAGGTTAATTGGTAATTTTAGATTTACCAAGGATGAGATTGATTTTATCCAAGCCTCCTTACCTTGCTCACACCAGGTATATTGATTCAGTAAGTTAATGTCTATGAAGTTGAGATGGTTACTTATCTCATTTTTTCAATGATTTAATTCCTTCTAATTTTTTGCTAGGTATCTTTTATTTTCAGGGTGAAGATTTTAATAATGATTCCCTCCTTTACCACAAAATCATAATATTAACCAATGCAGATGTTGATAGTACTCACATACGGACATTGTTGTTGACATTTTTCTTTCGCTATCAGGTGATATTTTTGGTAACATTTGTTTTAATTTTATTTATTTTAATGGATTTTGATGGCTATATTTTACACAAATTACATGCAGAGAGCTTTGTCCGATGAAGGTTGTATCTATATTGGAATCCCACCTCTACATAAGGTGCTGAGACGATTTCCAATTATATTTTTTATTTTTTGATTTCCAATTTAATATGACTAAAGTTCCAGAAATTCACAGTTTAGAGAGTCATTTATGATAAGACAGTTAAGGCCCTTTTGGCCTCACATATGATGTCATTATTGATAGGTAAAGGATTATTATTCCCGGAGAACAAAGTTTTATTGACGTCTCTGAAGTTGAATTTTGTCAATAATTTGAGAGCAGTTGTTGGTTGTGTCATGTGTCAATAAATGTTGAGATAGGAACACAAATTGCTCTTAAGAATCAACCTGGTCGAAAAGCCAAAATAATAGAAATAAAATTGTCTGTGGAGAAATTGCTTTTTTTTTTTTTAGAAATAAAATATCTTTGGTTTGAGAGCTCTTGTTATATATGAGGTGGTTGCATTTGGCTATTTAATTGCTGGAGAAATTGGACTTTGGAATTTACGGTCAATTTTCCTTTTTGTGTATTTGTGTTCCTGCCATATTTGAGTTTAGTAATCTGTAATTTTTTGGGGTGCTTGATGTGAATATGCTTAGTGTGGCTCTTATTTGTGTCTTGTTTCGTTTTTTTCTTTTGAAATTAGTTTCGGCGTTGCTACAGGTATGTTTGCTTTCTTTATATAGAAAAGGTAATTTGGACGTTGCAGATACGTGCGGTCGAAACTTTTAGGGAAATCGAGAAATTCCTGAGGGAAAATCTGTCAGAATATTGGCCTTATTCTTGCAAGATTATGTGGAGGCACCAAAGGGATTGAGCGAAGCGTCAGTCGGGGGTTTATTGCATGAGTTGGGGCTCAAGAGTAGAAACATCCGTAAGTAGCATGCCAAGCTTTTTTCCTCTTTGCTATTCTTAATGTTGCAAATGTGAGCCCAGAAATCAAGGTTTTCTATCCTGGAGTTTCAAGAAGATTAACAAAAAGATATAACCTTTTGTTTTCATATACAAGAAGTCGGCCAGTTGAGGTGCTGTTGGCAGTTGCTCCCTTTTGCCTTGAGAAGTCTCTTTCTCCTTCTGTTCTTAATATAATATAATATATATATGGGTTTATCTTGTTACTATATTGTCTTGTTTATTTGATATTGGAAATGTATCTTATGGTTGGGTTTGGTCACTTGCCTTCTCTTCATATACAATGGATTTAGACTAATGAATATGCACTTTGAGGTAATATACAGTAGTCAAAGATTGTAGGTATGTCCTTAGGTTTATGGATTGAACTGAATGGATTTACCATGCTTATTGGTGTTGCTTTTTTAACCATTGATCATATGTAGTAGATTTTGGGAAAGAGTGCATTTTTTAGCTATTTTATTTGGGTTATTGTTTCAGTTCAGCTTGTGTGTTATTATTTTCTTTGTGATTAAGATCACTTTAGGTTTGTAGTTTTATGGTTGCATATATTTCCATGCATGCGTGTCATAGGCTGCCATGGAGAAGGATTTAGAATGTTTAAACCACCAGAGTCTGATTGACTCAATGGTTTCATCACCATCAATGTTGGTTAATTGCCTATCTATTTACTTCGTTTCTCGGTATCCGTCTTTGCATAATTTGAATGCATTTGTTTTTATTTTCCCTTGCTGCTGAAATTCTTCTTCGTCTTTCATTTTGCTTCTTAAATCTTGTGATTGGTCAATGTGAGGAGTAAAAGATAGAGATGTCAATTCCAATGCAGTAGCGCTATTTTTAGATGCTACGACAGGTCATTATGTAAGTAGATACCTCACTGATCAATTTACGTTGTAATTGATCATAATATAGTCATGTATATTAACTCTCCTGGTGGATCAATTATCTTTGCGCTTGCACTGTCTCTTTTCCAAATCCTGTTCTCTGAAATATATATAATATTGCTATAATAGAAACAAAAAATCAGACATCAAGTTATGGAACGACAAGCGAGAGAGAAAGAGAGATGTACGAGAATTTTGTAGAGACTCTTTGCCAGCATCAAGGACACCGAGAAGCTTAAGAAGGCCTAAGTTCATGGCACCATATCCCCATCAAGGTTTCTCCCTAAAGATTATATCTTTGTTTATCGACTTCTTTATCATCCTCATGTCATTGGTCCTATTTTGTTATCTTATCAACGATCGCAAGAGGGCGAAGTATAATCGATGCTTACAGCGCTTGGCGTCTGCGATCAACTTCAATTTACTGGTTAGGGCTAGAATTGGGCGAATTTTTCTTCGAAGGTCAATTTTTGAATATATATTTTCCAAGGGTCTTTCCATCTTTAATTTTTTACTCATTTGTATCTTATTTCGGATGATGGTTCTAGAAATATTGATATTTTTGCTTCCCATATTTGATCTGCCTGCGAATTTCATCAAACAACTGCAGATGCTTCAACAACAACAACGACAATTTCGAGGACGAGCTCAATTTCTTTTCTAACACGCTTACAGGTAAATCTTCCTTTAGATACTCTCAATATACGGCATTTCCTTTCCCTTTCACTTTTTTTTTTGTGTAATCTTACCTTTTTTTCACTTTGCTGGTTATAATTTCCGAAGCAGTGGCTTTACATATACATACAAAGCTTTAGTCCGGGGAAGAGTATGATGGATACAAATCTGCTCGCTTACACGTCGAGAATTGTGGAGAAGCACAACAGATGCTGCATAGGAAAAAATTTGAGTCAAACCCAAAAATTTTCTCTATCACCGCTAACTACATTCATATTTTTCCTCTCTCTCTCTCTCTCTCTCTCTCTCTCTCTCTCTC